ATCCTCGTATATGTTCATATTTTATTTAACTGTTTAAGAAATCATCATAAAAGATATTGATTTTTTTATTAAAAAACATCTTTGTAAATCTAATCTATTTTTTGATCGGATAAGAATTCTTTGTCCAGTGGCGGATCCAGCGAGAGGCAGGGGTGGTGACCGCCTCCTCCTTTGGATATAACTCCAAGGTGTTTTTCTAATAATTTTCCTTGGATATTTTACATTTTTATCACATTCGCCTCCCCCTTCCGCTCATTTGCTCCCGTTTCGCTTATTGGACTCCACTTTCCACTTATCTATCACCCTCTTCAGAAATCCCTGGATCCGTCACTGCTCTTGTCTTTAAACATTCTTTTTCAAATATGTGATTTTCCTTTACTTCAAAGATATAAAATAGATTATATAATCATTTATTAGATAACTATCGTTTTTTATATAATTGCTGTCAAAATAATTGATGAATCGGTAGTGCCATACAAGAAAACTTCCTAGTAAAAAGTTAGTTCCAGTGCAATATTGACATTATTCAATCCAAAGTTAGATGATTGTGATTTTATTTGCTACGATAAAAAACTCAAATATGAATAGTTCACAAAGCATTGATAATAAGAATGAATTATTATCATATCTTTTAATACGATATTCATTTAGTCAATAAAGGTAAACTTAAATGATTTATTATTAGGAATCAAAGAAACGCTCATGAACATATTTGTATTCAATGAGTAGAAAAACAAAATCAGAATAAATAAAAAATTTTTTTGTGACATTTTTCTTTTTTTTAGATGTTATCAACACAAGAACTGATTTATATGATAGCACATATCGTTAAAAGTTCACATTTTTTCACATAGATATAAGATATCAATGAAAATGATAAGCGTACGAAATTGTCTATAAGTGTTTCAATAATTTTTTCTTGGGTTAAATTTGTTATTAATCTTTGTCCGATTTTGTTGTTTTATCAAAACTGTGTGTATCTAAAGGACCAGATGGTATTATTGCTATATCGGTAGTGAATTCATCGAATGGTCGTGCCATGAGCACGGCATTCGATAAATTTGTTTTTGTCGATTTAGTTGTAGACATTGACATATTAATGTAAGAATTAACAGCAGAGACATTATTAATTGAAAAGAAACGTTCAAGTAAACACTGGCCATTTTTGCTTATTGTTGCTAATACAATGGGACTTGTATTATTGTCGTCGAATGAAAGGTATTCTAGTTTTTGTTTTTTCAATTTAAAAATCAAAAATGTTATTTCAATAGAGACAAATCTATTTATTTATACATACGAGTTTGATATGTTCGGTCAGGCATTGTGCCGTTGAACAAAAAAGTGTCGGTAGCGTTTGCTTCGACTACATTCGACAATTCGATGTAAATCTTATCGTCGCGAATAACATGTGAATAAGGAATCTTTAATTCTGTACGATAGTTAATGATGGTACCACTTGTCAAAAGGGTTTTTTTTCTCTTCGTTCTGCCTATGATGAAAGGAAAAAAAAATCTAGAAAGAGAAAAAAAAAAAACACCCTGGGGACAAAAATTCGATTAAAAAAAAATTTAATTTGTCCTTTGGTGAATACTAATATGTCTTGTTTTCATATGCTTTTTACCAGTTAAAGCTCAGGTTGTTTACGTATTGATGATTGATGATGCTCTCGAAGACAAAAGACAGCAATGCATTATTTAGGTGCAGATATATATATATACTATGACAGTTGATATCTTTTTTTTCAATACTTCAAATGTTTTATCTTCTTATTTACTTAGATTAACATGTTCTATTTGTTGGTTGGTATTTTTTCTTTTATCTTCTCAATTTTAATCGACATCTCATTCATTGAATTCTTATACTTTAATTTAAACGATAAGAATTTAAAAAAAGAATATTGATGGTTTAATTACTCACTAATTGTGACACATGGGTTTGAATACGTTTCAAATTTTCCATTGATAATCGCAATGCATTTTTAATACTGCAATTATTATTTGCTTTGTTTTCGTGCATCACATGATAAATAATCAGATATTATTCTACTTTTCAATAAAATATTTCGATAATAAGAGAAATGAAATAGTAAGTATTGCAAAATAATAAATACGGATTGAAAAAGATACATTATTTGCTGTACTTTCATTTTCCAATACTATGCATGATGAAATAATAAATTACTGTGTTCTAGTTTAATATATTGTTCTTTCATTCATCATAGGACTGTGCATGATGTAACGATAAAGAAAGTCATTCATTAAAGCTCATGCAGATTCAACCGATCAATGGTCAAAGATTTTCTACAGCCCCTGCGGTTGTAAATATTATACTTTTTCTTTTTTTATTTGCATATATCATTATCTTTGGGTCGACTCTATGCTATTTTACTTTGGAAATTAATTAGCCACGTTCTGCAATCTTATGCTAATAGTAATCTGTACGATTTGATAATTCATGTAGCAAATAACTATTGTCTTTTACAATCAATTAATTGCCGCAATTGAATTCAAGTAATTATTACTTGCATAGAACTGTGAGCACTGAATTTATCAGTGCGTATAAAGTTAAATCGATAAGTGCCTGTTTGATATTTTCGTTAGATCAACGCCCTTCAATGAGTTCACTTCTACAATAAATTATACGATTCTATTCATAATAGTCTACTTTTCATTTCATGTCAAATATTTCAATAATTTTTATATATAAAAAGCATAGAACACTTCACATGGATGATGATGTATTCTTCACATCAATCATATTGTTCTGGTTTCTTTTTATGTATTTTCAATCTTAAGCATATAATTTTGTGTGCAAAGGCTGATATAATTAAATAATTGTACACGATTCGGTGTCATATATTCTCAGAAATAAAACTGAAAACATGTTACAATGTATTAATGCTGAAGATGATTGATATGATCAACGTAAAATAAAAGCTATTGATTTTAGTTTTTGCATATCTTCTATATATTGAATCAATATCTATGATGAGACAGTGACATGATTTTCTTTTACTCGCTATGTTGACTCTTTGACTCTGTAATTTCGGAAATAATTCATCCATTTATTATTTTCTCACTTACGCTTTATCATTACAGAAAAAATTTAATTAATGCGAAAATGATTATCTGGCAAAATTTTCAATAAAATAGTGACAACTAGTTGGTAGACCCTATCAAGCAATTTAACATGCACGGTGTCTCAAATATCCGACTGAAGAAGAAATATCACTGGCTGTTGATCAGTTCGAATTCGAATGATTGACATTTTTCTTTACATTTTTATTCAGTATACTTTAGGTGAATGTTTGTGCCTATAGAAATGAGCATGGAAATAGTTTTACTCATGACCTACTGCAAATCAGCCACGATTTGAAAACAAAAACTGTAGATCAAATTCGAAAAATATACATAAATTATATATTGAACTAGGACCAAATTTCAATGATTATGTGAACCAGCTATTGGCAAAAAAATTGATCACGTTTTGAAAGGTCTAAAGTAATAGCTGAAGAAAAAGTCACTGAAATTAATGACACTTTTGAAAATGAGCCAGGATAAAGTATTCTGTCTTTTCCACACTCTTACTCAATGCTGCAAACTGCAATTTCTTAAATGATGTGTTAATATTCCTATAAAGCTATATAGCGTCCAATTGGTTAAACAACGTTAAGAAGAAGAGTTACATATACTGAATACATGATCCCAGATTATTATTACACGTATCATTAATTTCATTGACTTTTTCTGTAGCTATTACTCTAGGTCTTCCCAAACGTGATCGATTTTCAACAGTGACTAGTTCATAGAATCGTTGGATGTGGTCTTAATGTAACATCCGGTTGGTGTGTATTTTGACAGTGCGATCAATAGATTTTGTTTTAGAATCGTGGATGATTCAAATTTGAATAAAACTTTATTGAATATAAGATTAAACTGTTAGCAAAAATGTCAGTCATTTGAAATTTTGAAAAACCATTCATATTTTTTTTCGTTTGTACTGTTAAAACATCCTGAAGATTAACTATGAAAATAATTTAATAGATTTGAAAATTTGACATAATCAATAGATGAATTACTCGGATGAATATTAACTCGGATGTCCTTAACTGATAAATAATTTTGATGCACAATGACCTTACAATTGGTTAAAACAAGATTCAACTTGTGTCTATGACTTCAACTAATTTTTTTCTTTTTCTTTTGAGCACACACTAAGCAGTTATAGAAATTTAGAACTATTCATGGACACTTTCCATTTCAACTATATGTATTTATATTAGTCTGACAAGTTTTTATGCACACATTAGACAAAAGAAATTCTATCTTATAATCGCATTATACTATTATAATCTTTGAAATATATCCTAGATATTCAGTGCAAAGTAGATAAATAATCTATTTAGATAGGCATGTATATCTCTCTGTAAAAAAAACCGATGTTCATTCTTTCGTTCTTTTGTTTCTTCGTATAAATAAATGGGTATATCTGTTTTCGAATTCATTTCTATTTCTTTCCATTCCTATTTACACTTAAACATATTACTAGTTAGATAAAACAGGAAGCAATAATGATTTACGAACCATTGAATCGTCGATTGGCAATATTGGCTGCTATATTTGCATTCTTAGGTGTTATACTTGGTGTTATTGCACTTGCTACCAATTACTGAACATTTGTCATTATTTCTGGCGAATTTCATAATGAAAAAACTGTTACTGATAGACAGTCAAATGCTTATGGTTGGAATGTATGTATATTATAACATATTCTGAAATTAAAAACAAAAATGTTTTTTTTTCTTGCATATTTAGGATCTGTTTCAAATATGCAGATCGGATGTTCCATGCATTTCTCATTTTTCAACATCAACATTTATTGTTTGTTTTTTAGGTGTTTCATTCTTATTGATTGGTGGTATATTTTCGCTTCTTGACATTCTATAAACAGATGATCGTCAATTCATTACACCTTTATTAATATTTGTTGGTTGTATATTAATGACTCCTGGTTTAGTTCATTATGCTTCATTAAGTGTTCTTAATCATCATTCTTCACGTACAATGATTGCTGTTATTGTATTTACTTATGCAGCTTTACGTATATCAGCTTTTGTTACTGGACGATCTTCAGCATTGGGACGATGTGTTTTGATTAATAATGAATATCATGATATTCAAAAGTATTCAACTACCAATGGTAATGGTCTTTGAATATGAAGAAGTGACAAGACGAAATTTTATTCATTCATTTCATGTCTATTCAACTTAGTCTAGCTTTTTCGTACTTATGTTATGTATTCTCGTGTTAAAATACTATACATATATGTATCTTCAACGATATCATTGTTTAATGAAACAGAATCAAAATATTTCGAGTACTACATCAACGTTCGATTTTCTGATAGAAAACATATAAAAAAAGATATTCTTTCGAATATAACAATGATTATAATTATTGTAAGCTTACATTGAAAAAGAAACCGTAGAAGCTAATTAATAAATGTCAAATATTAGGTAAGAATGATAATTAAACGACGTTTGAATGAAATCATATTCTGAAATGAAGTAAAAAAAAAATGGAAAGTAATAGTTTCTTATCGACTCCAAATGTATGACTGTATTGCAGATTTAAACCGCTTTTTAATTTAAGAAGTGTCTTCTTTGTTCGTATAAAAAATACAACTTTTTAATAGATGATTTTACATCTGTTATTAGTCATATAATTTTAAACTATTCTATTCAACTTCGTTCAGATAAATTAAATAAATAAATTAAAATAATCAAGAAATAAATTGTGTATACATGGTGTAAACAATGTCTTTCTATAATATTAACACTTACATAATCTTTTTCTTAGTTCTGATTGATGAGAGAACTTTTGTAAATGAATTATAGTGATATAATCGAATTTCTATAAAACATCATAAAAAAGAATGAACTGGAATCTTCTGTAAATCAATGCAGTTGGACTATTCTTGTGTCTTTACCAATTCTTTCTCACATCTTAAGATATCCGTCATAATCTTATGAGGTAAGAATATGAGATTAAGATAAATGTCTTTTGTCCTATTTCTATGCTTGTCTTAAGATATGATAATTACATGTTCGATGGTACATACATGTTCAGAGTGCGTAGTAGCTAACAAACTGAAAGACATAATGTTAAATGCTCTCGATTAAAATAACAGAAATTCCATCATGTTTTATATTGTAATCATCTAAGGATAAGTTCAAAATATTCAGTTATCTCAATGTTTATTCTATATAGCGTTAATTCAATATCGTTTTGATATATATTCATTGATTCTATCCAATAATAATTGAAATCGCATCATTTGTATACAGTATATCTCGAAGGAATATACGTGTTATTTCGATTTCTTCATTGATTTTTGTTTTACATAGTAATTTTAGTTCCCTGAGAAACTAATTCCACAGTTAATGACTTGCTACTTTAGCAGCCACAGCATAATATACTGATCTTCCAAAACTAAAAAAACTTATATTTAGTTTTCCAACATGTAATACTCAAGGACAGAGGATAGTTATTGTGTCCCTATTCAAGGCTCTTATCACGGATGTTTTGGAAAAAACTATTATTTGAGCATGTTTTTCAAAGAAGAAAGAAAATCGTCTAACAAAGCCTGTAGCGTAAATAATCATGTTTTTATTTTTTCTTCAGAACTAGGTGGACTTGTTGTTTCATCTAAAATTTCATCAATAGATGCTAGGTTTGTAATAATATAACCTTCTCTTTTCATTGGAATAAAGTGTTCTGGCATCATTGAAATATTACCTTCGTTTTGAAATAAATGTTAACGAACAAGTACTTTATCACCGAAAAGATTAAATCCATGAGTAGCTAATATATCAGTGGACATAGTATCAATAATTTTCATAAAAAAAAACCATGAAAATTTTCGATGAAGAAAACGAAATAGAGTAGCGTGTGAAGTATCAGGAGATGGTGTACAAAGGATGCAAGATATATATGTGCATAAGTATCGGACTGATACTTAACCATCAGTGAATTTATGTGGACTCATCCAATGAACCCCTTGAAATATTAAATAGCATGAATGAGAAAAATGATTAGCAGAAACTAATATATCAATATCACGTGTACCACAATCCATTACTATTATATACTTATTTTCTACTTGATCAGGTGATTTGATATTCGGTGAATAAACAATCGCTCTATCAAATTTGTTTTCATCCAAAAAGTTTTAGTAGAAACGGTTCTGAATAAAGACTGGTAAGTATGACAACTATGTCAAACTTGAATAATTCGTTTTAAACATCGATTATATCAACTTTGACGATTCAAGAAAAGTATTCTTTTTTTTTCTTTATTATCTCAATGATCGATACAACTCGAGTTTGACGACGAATTCGTTTGATTATATGAAATAAATCAGCATATCTTTGAACCTAATCGTTAACTATCTGTCAAGGAGCGTACTCTTAAATAAACCAAGATGTTATTGACATGAGACGATAAAAAAATCAAATATGATAGATTGTACCTTTTCTATCGAATAGATCAGAAAAGTCTATAGAGTTTCCTGGTTGTTGAGTATGGCTATCGGCATATAAGGATTCTGCGTATTAAACACTTTCTATGTCACGTTTTCGATCAAAAAACATCACATCAAACCAATCATTCAACAGGGTATTAGCATACACATTAAAGTAAAATCACCTGTACTAACAATAGCAACTGATTTCGAGTTTTTAAGTATCTAAATAACAACAATCAACTATTTAAAATCAATCAAATTTGAATGGATGGCGCATAGAATATAAGACTATCACTCGGTTCTAATTTCGTTTTTTAGAACAGAAACATAAGAAAAATAAAACAAAAGCAGTCAAACACAAACAGGTAAAGCATATGTGATCAGTTTCAAGCTGTAACAACAAAAAATAACACGAGTATTATTCTAAATGTCATACTCTGAGAGCAAACGCATAAAAGAACATTAAGGTGAATTCTGACTAATGTTATATCAAAAGTAGCTCTACTAACTTATTTTTCATTGAAAGAGTGACTCACAGCGAATTTATGTAAGGTTTTGTTTATCACGCATCAATCATAACAATCTTATTCCAGAAAATGATAATAAAAATGTCTGTTAAGTGAGTATTCGTATCAACGTAGTCGTTTTTCATCTATTCTACATAGTAAGACTTGAACGAGGTCAGTGTACAAGATGTCTCTTTAGATTTTTCTTCCTAAGAAAATTAACACTACTTTAAATTGCTCATTAATTCTTCTATTCAAGTGATGGTTTTACAAGATATTAAATTTCTGATGTATCAAATAAGAAGAGAAGGTCTTGATCTAATAATAATATAACACAAAATTTATTTAAACTTGAAAATGAAAAGGTTTTGTATGAAATGACGTTGATCTTTGTACGGGAAGAAATTCCAAGACATGTATTTTATTTTGTGATAAATAAAAATCACATATTCGAATGTACAATTAAAATAAACTTAATATTAATTTTGTTTCAAAAATTGGTCATTAAATGAACTTTTACTTGTAATATAGTATAAATAACTACGTCATGATGATTATTGAAGCGCAACATCAAATAATATATAATAAACATTGTTTCATTCTAATAGATGCAAATAACGTTTTTTTAGTTCGTTCTGTATTTTGCTCTTTGATATAAATTCAGTGATCATATACAATAAGCAAAGTTAAGGTTACAGTAGAAAAGTACAGTTTACTGTAAAATGTCTATTTCGACATTCTTTCAAACAATTTGTCACTTTTATTTTAATTATCATTATAATAATTCATCTTCAAAATCCACTTCGTCGGCATTTTCTCGACGTGTTCAATTTGCTATTCGAATGACTGTCTCATTTCTTATCGGTGGATTTCTTGCTTATGGAACTCCATTAAATAAGCAATTAACAACACAATATTTAATTCCTGTTATGTGTATTTTATCCATACAGGAGACATGTGGAATGACATTATCAGCTAGTTATCAAATGTTAACAGCCGTGACACCTCTTTCAATTTTTCTTTTCGTAGTTCAAAAGATTGGTCTTGGATACAAAGATTATCTTGCAGCTGAACTTACACTACTTATTTCATCCCTTTTAGTTGCCTACAAATGTTCACAGGTAAATATTTTCTAGCAAGTAAATCAAATTATATTGAAATTTTTGGTAAAAAAAAATGTACAATTTTTTTGTAAGGTTCAAACAAGAAAAATTGCTCTATTGATTAATGCTATTTTTTTCTCAACTATTGTAAATCAAGCTGATCTTCCATCAACATTTATTTTTACTTTACTTGAAGAATTTGTCATTGGACTATTTGTTGGTCTAATTGTTTCTATTGTTGTCTTTCCACTTTTTGCGACTTTTGATGTTGAAAATCGTGTTACTTATTGTCTAACAAATCTACAACAAATGGAAACTATTATAATGCAAGCATTTTTATGTAAAGATCAAATGAGTGCACAAGTATCACTTGCTCGAGCATCAACTATTGAACAAATGGTACGTACAACGATGAACTTGATGCATACAAGACTAAATGAAGCTCGTATGGAACCATCACGTTGTTTACAACGAATTTTCAATCGAAGAAGAAGACATCTTATTGATCTAACATTGCAAGGTTATTTGATTCTTTTTTTTTCTACATATAAAATATAAAATATTTGTTTTATAGAACAAGAATACCTAATTAGTACATTAATGTTTCATATATGTTCACTTCAACTAATGGTTAAACAATGTCAATTCAATGAATATCATAGCCATTTTACAAGTGAACTTCAAGCTAGCCTTCTTCATCTTAGTTTATGTCAATCAACAGTTGTTACAACTTTAATGTCATCTTCAATAATTAGTAGAGATGACTTTAATGGTCGTCTAAATGAATTACAAAAAGCACTTGATTCACTTCGTACAGCTTTTATTGAAGCACGTCTCCGTCATGTTGAACATGTATTGGAATCTGCAAAAACAATTCGATCTGAAGATCATCTCTCGCATACTTTTTTTCTCTTTCAACTTGATGCTATTGTAAGACTTTTCATACAAGCAACAACAATCGGTCAGAAGAAAAGCTTTTTTCAAGAGATTAAAGATGCATTTAAAAAAAAACATAAAAAGAAGAGAAGAACTGTCATAGAAGTGTTAAAACCACAATGGCCACGTTTTTTATCAGCTTT